TCACTACTTTTACTTATTTTTAATTCCCGACATTTCGGGTGCTTTACAGCAACTTCTTACTGCTCCTGTAAATCCAAGATTCTACAAGCGGTACGTAGACGACACTTTCACAATTTTACCATCTGACAAAGTAACTGCATTTTTAGACCACTTTAACTCTATAAACTCTAAAATACAATTCACAATGGAGGTAGAGGCAATTAATTCTTTAGCTTTCCTAGATGTTTTAGTCATTCGAAATCCTTATAACACTATTGGTCACACTGTGTATAGAAAAAAGACCCATACCAACCGATATTTAAATGGTGAATCTCACCATCATCCTTCACAGTTAGCTACCGTGGGTAAATCTTTGTTTGCTTTGACAAACATCTGGCCGCCGAGCTTCAGCATGTCAAGCAAGTGTTGCAAGACAACAAGCTTCTACGTCACAGTGACCGAGTGGAGCCGGGCACAGTCGAGCGTGTGCCTGCTGTACTACCATATGTCAGAGGAGTCACAGACAAGGTTGGCTACATCTTGAAGCGAGCTTCCATTAAAACATACTACAAGCCGCCGAAGAAGATTAGTCAATTTTTACCATCCGTCAAGTGTAATATCCCTCTACAAGATGCAGGAGTGTACAAGTTAGATTGTGAATGTGGTCTCTCTTACATAGGTCAAACAAAAAGATCCATAAAAACCCGCGTGAAAGAACACATAGCTGACGTGAAGCACCGACGCTCTGGGAAGTCTGCAGTCTGTGATCATGTTCAAGATCGTCCCCACCATTACATGAGATTTGATAAACCACAAATCCTCGCAAAAGAACACAGATTCCTACCAAGGATGATACGTGAGGCTATTGAAATTAAAAAACATCCTAATTTCAATAGAGAAGATGGTTGGGTGCTGCCATCTGCTTGGTATTCTATAATTAACAAAATTAAACCCAAACCCAAGCATACCACTGCAAGACTTCAAGATACTGTAAGTTCGTTTTGCGTAAATCGGACCAATAATTAATATTCAAAAACTGAAGGCAGCCGGGCTAACAATGACATTGGGACGTCAAACATCTCGTCCCCCCCCCCCCCCCGTCACCATGGGTGCTGTATAAAGTTGTTCAAAACGACTATAAATCAATAGCACGCTACAGACTATGAACTATAAATTTCTAGCGCGCTATTAAATACGCTATGTTATAGCGCGCTACTTATAAGAAAGCGTGTAGGAGGCCGGCAAGCGCGTTAAGTTTAGCAGCACGCTATATCTCGAAGCACGCTACATTACGTGTCCTTCATTGGATAGACAGCGCGCTATATAAGAACATTATTTCGTAATAAGTCGCATTTTAGATTAAAATAAAATAAAGTGGTAAAGAGAAATCAATGAACGCTTTTTCATAATTTTCAGGCTTAAGAGTTATTATAACCCTAAAAATAATTTTAAGGCATGTACTTTTTAAAACAAAATAAAATCAATCATTTTTCATTATAATTGATATAAACGTTATTTTAACCTTAATATAAATTATAAATCAATTTAAGGTGTATTTAAAAGTTTATTGTTTGTATATACAAAAATCAACTATTTACAAACACTATTATATACACTTTTGTATCTATGTTTTATTTACATTTAAAACTTTAGTTAGGCTTCTTTTGTAGCAGACAACTGTGTCCTTCGATCACTTATAAATATACAGTATACACCAATTAAACAACGTCTAACACTAAATTAGTTCGCGCGCGATGAATAGCGTGCTGCTAGATTAAATTTGCGTCACACGTCTACTCCCAACAGCGCTGCTGATAAAACTATTTGCTTGCCACTTGATGTGAATAGCGCCAAAGCGTCATAGCGCCATGGCGACTACTTACATAGCACGCGCTATGCGTTATGGAGGGATAGCGCGCTATAATATGGCGCTATGCGCTATATTAACCACCATTAGTGCTGTAAAGCACCCGAAACGTCGAGAATTAAAAATAAGTAAAATCAGTTAAATAAACGCGATAGAATCCGTAAATTTAGTTTTATTCAATGTGTAGTGTCCGCGTAAATTTAATAAATCATTATATAAAATAAATTTTTTTTGTTTTAATAAGTACATGCCTTAAAAATATTTTTAGGATAATATAAAGTCGTGAGCCTGAAAAGTATGAAAGAGAGTTCCTTGGTTTTTCTTTATCTCTTTATTTTATTTAAGTATAAAATGAGACTTCTTACGAAATAATGTTCCTATATAGTACGCGATCTATCCAACGAACGACATGTAATGTAACGTGCTACGAGATATAGCGTGCTGCAAAACTTAACGCGCTTGCCGGCCTTCTACACGCTTTCTTATTAATAGCGCGCTATAACATAGCGTATTTAATATCGCGCTAGAAATTTGTAGTTTATAGTCTATAGCGTGCTACTGATTTATAGTCGTTTTGAACAAATTTAGTTCACGTTGCGCTCCGTCCACTGCGGGACGCGCGGGTGAAAAACGAATTTGAAATCGTGCTAAGACCTCGTCTTAAAATGAATTTTCTTGAAGAGCGTAGAGGTTCTCCTGGAAGTCCTACAAAATTAAACTTCTCCTTAGATAGGAAGGTGTAGAAGGGTGAAATAATACACAGTACAGAATGGAAAGAATATGCATATTCCGGGGAAGTCGGATAGGTAACCACTTGAGACGTGTGCGAAATTAGGAAATATGGTCATATTTGCGCAATCCAAATTTGAACCGAATACTAGTGTATTTCTGCTCTGACAATGGTATTGAGGTCATAGTACTCAATCCAAATTCTACACACATATTACAACCAATGGATTTGTCTGTTTTCAGGCCTTTGAAGTTGTCATGGCGAGAAGTGTTTAAGAGCTGGAAAACACAAAATTTAGGACAAGTTTAAAAAAAAACAGCAATTTGCTCCAGTTTTAAAGACAGCAATAGAAAAACTTACTGTTGAGACAATCAAAAATGGATTTCGAGCTGGAGGTTTGTACCCATTTGGTACAGAATGTAGACATTAGTAAAATCAAATCTTAAAACAGGCAGAATATTAATTCTACTCGCCAGAGAGAATTTTTGAAAACATAACACAACAAGATTGAAGCACTTTCTCTCGCTCTCTTGTGCCAAACTGAAGCTTTTCAAAGATCTTTATTACAAAAGCCTCGAACTGGAAAATCTTCTGCTAAATGAAGATGAATCTCTGTATTTGATTTAGGTCAGTAGTAAGCAAATTCTCGATCATGATATAAGAAATGAAGTATCGGCACCCACTAACTCCGTTAAAACATCAAATCACGTATTAGATTTTAAATTTAGAATTCATAGACAAAACACCTATGAAGATTAATAACGAATTAAACGAAGCTTATTTTGGCCAGAAACTGATGAAATAACGAAAAATAAGAAACGAGAAAATTCCATTTACGATTACAAGCCCTGCATGAAAAGCGTACAATACCAAGAAGGAAGAAGAAAAAAGAAAACGAATAGAAGAGAAGGAACTGCGAGCAAAACAATTAGAAGAAAATAAAATGAAGAAACTTAATAAGAAAAAACAAGTTTCAAATAAACGAAAAACAGAGTAGAATCATCTGAAATTGGGGATGAAGTAATTTACGCTGGAAGTGATGAGTGTCTTGACTGAAGGATCGGAATCGGACAATGTAACATTGAGTACATTGCTTTCGTATCAAAAAAAAAACTATTAACGGGAAATTATGTGATAGTTTTATATGAAGGGCAACATTTTCCAGGAGTCATTGAAAATACAAATAAAAATGAGTTTGAAGTAAGCACGATGACCGTTTCAACAGGAAACACTTATAAATGGCCAAATAAATCCGATAAGATATGGTAACAAAGAAAAAATATCGTAGAGCAGATTTGTCCGCCAAGTTTGATTAAGAAAAGAAGTTTTTATGCTGTAAAGGAAATGCAAAATACTATTTATATTTTTCTAAAGATATTAGTTATTTTGTTTTTTATAGTTTGTGACGGAAAAGATAATTTAGCATTTTTGATTCTGATAATATATTTTACTTTCCAAACTAACTTATAGTTCATAAGTAAATTACTGATTAATACATAAAAGATATAAATATGTATAACACATAGTATATAAATAAATATTAGTACATGAAAAGCTGATTAAGAGTAGTTTGAACTTTACAAAGTGATTATTTAGGTACTTGTAGTGAATAACAATAATGTTTAAGTTCTTTAATGCTGATCTCATTGTCCATTTTCGATAGTTTTAAGTACATAATTTGAATGTTTTTACGACTGCAGTTACATTACAAAAGCTGATCAAAATAACAGTTTGCATCATTTTATATTCCAAGTTTAGTATTCCACAGTTAATTTAACAAAGGCTTCTCATGATTCATGTTCATTAACAGGTGTCCACATGTGGTTCATGTTTATCACTGGGTGTCCATAACTAGATTTTTGTTGAATTCATAACTGGTTAAAAAATCTAAGTTTTTATTTGTTGATAACATTAAAACCAATTAAAGTGCCCATAAAGCACAAAAATAGAATAAATGCAGGACTTCAAATTTTCACTAGGTTTTGTGTTAAAACTTTCACGGGTATAAGAGAATTTTCTGAAGTACCAAAATTTTCTTCTTAAAGTGTCCATCATTGGGGTACTTAACTATTTTGATTTGAAACGGCAATTTCATATCAGGTAAAGAATTTTATGTTTTTAATAAATCGATAGAGAATAATACCGTCAAATATTGCTATCTATCTTCATTGCAAAATATTTATGCATTGAGATAAAAATTTATGGAGTAGTAAAGAAAATTAAAGTTATAGATTATCGAAAAACATCGATGAAGTTTTTTTAAATGTAAATATTTGTCTTTTTAAAACTTAATGAAAGCTCTTAATATAAAATAAAAAAGAAACAAACTTTATGTATGTATGTATCTATGTATAATATATTTACATTTTCACCTTAAAGTATTAAAGTACTACCAGAATTAGTACAAATTAAACTGATCATCTTCTACGGATAGTTGAGTAGACTGGGCGGAGGTTCTGATGGCATGAAGGCCGGGATCGGCGAATTTGTATCTGAAATATAAGTATTAATTATAGGTTATACAGGCCTACGGAATTTCAGTTTGACAGTGTTATTCTTTTCGTAATCGCATACAACCTGTGATAGTTCAATCTTTGCCCTGAGAGAAGATAACCTTTAGAATTCCTAGAGATAACTCACCTTTAGAATTTCTAGTTTTATTTTAAAATTAAAATAAGCACACAGCCCACCATCCAATCCACCATCCAATGGTAAGTGGATGCTGTTGTCCATAGATTCATAGTTATAATATGTACATCGCACATCTGTATGTATATCATCGATTGAAAATCGTAATGCCTGTGAGGACGAATATAGAACACTTCGTTATCAGGAATCCTTCGTTACCAGCAACATGGTTTTATATAGAATAAGGGTGACTAACGAGCATACAGTCTACCTGATGGTAAGAGGATACTGTGGCCATCTACATTACATAGACATCTGGGCGGTGGGTAATCTACTCGTAACATTTTGACATTATCAGCAGGACTTGATTAATACCTATTCTGCTCTCCTGTCCGGCGAGCCGTTTGGCGAATAGCTCTGGGGGAGAGCGCAGGTTGTGTTGATCCCCAGGGTAAGTCTGAGGAGTTCTTCCTTCACGTGGTTGCCGCCTGTTATTGATCTCGTTTAATAGGAAACAGACAGAACAGAAACACTCAGACGATCCTTTTTTCTTTTTTTTATCCCACTCCCTTTTTACTATCCTAACTCAATCCAAGATCTCAAGCGTACCGTGCCAATAGATGCGTGGCTGGGGGGCAGTCCAGTCGCAAACGGTGCCTGCCCGAGACCAGGGCGATTCGGGTAGTATTTTAGACCATCCCTCGGCATTTGGAGCTCTGCCGGGGGTGACCGAATATTTCCCTAGCTAATTGTGTGACCAGAACGGAAGAAAATCGACATTTTGCGAACAATTATGAAAAATCTCCTTTAATGGAACTGTCTGTAGGTTTGGAAGAGGCTCTTTTAGCCTCACAGATACCCTGCGACACTACGCCCCAACCTGGAACGAGCCGTGAAGTGGAGGGCACGTCTGCAGCCGAACCACAATCGGAAACAAAACAGAGGAGAAAAGCAAAAGTTCGCTAGGCCTTCTAAGCTTAGTGGGGCAGCAAGGAAGAGGTACCGAAGGCTGATAGCAGCTGACATAGGAGCCGAAGAGGCCCTCTTTTTCTCTCTCTGCCAGAAGCTCTGGAACGAAATTGCTTTTCCCAAACCTCCCCAGTTCCGAAGGCGAAAATACGCAGTCGGTCTGAGGAAGAGTCCCCCAAAGACCATCACAGGAAGTCTGCAAGAAGCTGGCAACGAGGGAGAAGAAGCTCAGCTTTAGTGCTGTAGCTGGCCCCGCGCCTGTAGGAATTATTTCTTTCAGTCTTTGCGCGCGCGTGACAGTTTGTATGATAGCTGGGGTACGAAGAGAATATGACGCATGTTGTTTGTGCACGCGCAGAAGTTTGTACGGCAGCTGGGGGGCGGGGGGAATACGACTTGTTTTGTTTGCGCACGTGCAGCGTTCCGTACGTCATCTGGTGGGCGAGGGAAGCTGTAGCAGCGGTGGCTGACTGAGTTTTGCGCGCGCAGCGGTCCGTACGGCAGTTGGGGGGCGAGAGGAGTTTGACTCACTTTGTGGATGCACAGAGGTCGGTATTGTAGCTGGAGCAGGTAGGGAGCGCTGGCGTTCACGGCGATGACTCACCATGTAATGCACGCGCAGCGGTTCGTACTGCGGTGGGGCAGGAAGGGAGCGTGATTCACTTCACTCTCTAAGCGCAGCGGTTCGTAAGGCGTCAGGTTTGCGAGGAGTCGTGGCGGGTGTGTGCGGAGGGCGCTGGACTTACGGCGGTGACCAACCGTGCTTGTGCGCGGGCAACGGTCTGTTCGTCTGCTGGTGAGCGAGGAAGGCGCAGGGCTCACCGTGCTTGTGCACGGGCGGCGGCGCGGCGGGCGGCGGGTGGCGGCGCACAGCTCGCAGCAGGGCGGTGGGCGGCGGTGCACGGCTCGCAGCAGGACGGTGGGCGGCGGCGCACGGCTCGCAGCAGGGCGGTGGGCGGCGGTGACTCACCGAGTTTGTGCCCGCGCAGCGGTGCGGCTGGCGGCGGGCAGCGGCGCGCGGCTCGCAGCAGGGCGGTGGGCGGCGCGCGGCGGCGCGGTGGCGGCGGGGAGCCGGGCGGCGGCGGGGGCGGTGGCAGCGCGTCCCACAGCGCCACGTGGTCCGGGTGCGACGCGGGGCACGGCCACGCACACCCCACGCGACGTGACACGTGCGCCTTGCGTCTCTATCGCACCAAACACCGCGCTCATTATATCTCTCTGTTACTTATTCATGTAGGTGTGCAAGCGCGCGACGCAATCGATACTGTACGTGACACGTGGGTGACGTGGATATCATCGTGACAGCGTAGTTATAGTAGGAACAGACGGTCAGACGTACGCAACAATCGCGATGCAACGCTCCTACGTTAGTATACACACTTGATCTACGTACCACACACTTGATCAACGTCAAAACGCGAAACGTACGTTGCAAATGCACATGCCTACAAAGGAACAATGTCCAGAATCGCCCTGTGCAATAAAAGTATCGGAATATTAATTATCGTGTATAATTAATGGTCTATCTTATTATATTCGTTGCAAAAATTTTTATAACATGGACTAACTGCATGCCAAAATGAAAATTAAAAAGTATTCTATTCGACTAATAATATCAATCGCCGCCATCTTGGCCAAACATTACGTGGTGCCGAAAAATTATTACGGATGCTCAATCGATGAACTGTTGCATATTTTTTAATCTGAATCACAAAATGCAATTAGAAGTTACAATAAAAACACTCAATATACATTTTTTTATCTTAATATATATAAAAATTACGTGTCATATTGTTTGTCCGCGATGAACTCCTAAAATTTGATTTCAATGAAATTTTGCACACTGTGTGCAGTTTGGTCTAACTTGAGAGATAGGATAGTTCATATCCCGATAAATGACCCTCATTATTATTATTACAAATTTAAGATTTTTTATAGACACAAAGGGTCGTCGGAGGAGACAGAACAACTTCTGTCTACCCAGATAGTATTTATATATAAATATTACGTGTCACATTGTTTGATTGAAATGAGATTTTGCATATGTGTATACCATGCTCCAACTTGAGAGATAGGGTAGTTTTTATCCCGATAAGTGACCCTCAACATTTTTTATTACGAATTTAAGTATTTTTTAAAGTACTAAAGGTCGTCGGAAATGGCAGAACAAAGTTTTCCTGGCCAGCTAGTATTCTTATATATTATTTCCTAAAATTATAATTTAAAAAACCTACTACGAGGGCGGTACTGAAAATTTCGGGAATCAAGGAAGTGACACAACATTACTATTTAAAAATGTATTTATTGCTTTTCGAAGTATTCTCCGCGAAATTTGACACATTTTTCCATACGATGGAACCAATCATTGAAGCAACCATTCCATTCGGAAGCTGGGGTCTTCAAAATGGCCGTTTTGTAGGCGTCCACAGCTTCTTCAGGTGATGAAAATCTCTGTCCACGCAATTTATTCTTTATTTTAGGGAAAGCATAGAAATCATTAGGGCTTAGGTCGGGGCTGTATGGCGGATGGTCTAATAATTCTATGTTTTCTTGCTCTATAAACTCTTTTGTTCTCTATGCGGTATGAGAACTCGCATTGTCGTGATGGAGGATGATACGGCGGTTGCAGTTCTCTTTACGGAATTCAGAAACGACCTGTGGCAAACAAATGCTAGCATACCATTCTGCATTAACCGTTTTTTGTCCCTCAAGAGGAATAGTCGTAACATGGCCGGTTTTGGATACAAACGTGGCCACCAATTTTTTTTGCAACACTCCGTGAACGAACAATTTTTGTTGGCTTTAACTCATTTTCGAACACCCGAACTCGTGACTGGCTTTTTTGTTTCGGGTTCGTACGCGTATATCCAGGATTCGTCACCTGATACGATGTTGTATACAGCATTTGAGGATCCTGCGTGGAATCTTTCGAGAGTTCTTACGCACCAAGTAACGCGGGCCGCTTTTTTCTCTTCACAGAGCGATTGCGGTATCCATCGGGAAAACAACTTTTTTACACCTAATTGTTCATGCAAGATTATTTGTATTTGACTCATGCCAATGTCTAAAGTTGCCTGAATTTCGCGGTATGTCACATGTCGATCTTCCTCAATCAGCTTACGCACAGCATCAACGTTTTCTTGGGTGACTGCAGTTTTTGGACAACCTTGACGGGGATCATCACTGAGCTTGACACGTCCAGGTTGAAATTCAGCAAACCAGCGATAAATTGTGGTTTTGGATGGGGCTTCATCACCAAATGCAGAGATCATCCGGTCAACACACTGTTTTTGTGTTAAACCACTTCGAAAGTCATAATAAATCATCGCTCTTGAATTTTCTCGAGTCAATTCATTGAAGTAATATGTACTTACGTACTAGAACAGCTATTTCAAACAAAATATCTGCGCTACTCTGTGTTGTTCTCGTTATTTTTTTTCATTATTCTACAATTACATTTTAATAATATTTTTATCTGAATATTTTAAAAGGTATATCTATGTCAAATATAAAAAACGTACTAAATTTATGTTTAACAAAACTTATTAATATAAAATTTAAATTACAAATATATTTATTTAAATTAGAATAAGCGTCGTTCATCAATGCTGGGCACGCGAGAGTTAAAAATGGATGAATTTATTCCACTTTGATTTTGAAGTGGAAACCTAAAAATAAAATAAAAGAATAATGAGCAGATTTAAATATAAAAAATTGGCTTAATTATGATAACTCATATATGTTTCTACAAAAAAAAAATGTGTATAGTAATATATTCGTCCTATAAGTACCCACAGAAATGTCGCATCTGAACAAAATAAATTTCTTTTCATGCACAAGATGGCGTCTTAGGCATAATTTGTTTTATTATTAAGTTATAATAATTTTTTTATTGATTAAGTATCTTATTAACCGATGAAAAGTAATACCTTGGTTTTTACTGATATTTCTTGAATTATTTGTGCAATATCTAAGTACACACGACGGCATATTTTTATCAAGAGATTTTTTTTTAATCAACATAACACGTGACAACTCTACAAGCGCCTAGCGAGTGACTGATTAAAGTGCGGTGTATGCACCGCAATTGAGTGGAACAGAGTAGCTGAATGCAGTGTCGCCTCTAGTACGTAGTACATAATAGCTCAATGAGTCAATTCCATTTTCTCAACGACTAAACAAGTTTGACAAAACCTTGTGACAAGACCGAGAATCTTTTTTTAAATAAATAAATGGTATTCGATTTTTAAAACCAAGGAGTTTTCAATTAAAAAGATTTTAATATGACAGTAACAGTGAAAATATTCCTACTTATAATTAATATTATTTTATAATGCGGAAGTGAACAAAACTTACATATTTCATCATGATTATTATTCAGGGTTTTTAACGAATTTTTGGAAAACTGATAGAGCCACGCTGCAGCTATATTATGGTCAGCACGAATGGGTCGGCTTGACCGTTGACGGCCCACGATCTAACAGAATACCAGCGTAAAACACCAGCGCAATGCTGCTGTGTTTCGTATGGTGAATGTAGAGAACTGGAGACCCTTTTTAGTGGAAACGAGACACTCAATTTTGATCTTCAAAGGTGACAACAGATTCGTTCGTAATCGAGGATAGATGTAGATGTCTATGGACCACTGCAACCACTTACCGTCAGGTGACTGTGTGCTCGTTTGTTACCATTATCCTATAAAAAAGTGTGTGGTTTGCTTATAACTAAACGATCACTTACGAGCTTATGACAATTAATTTAAAAACATGTCAATTTACTTAAAAAAAACTCTTATTCGATTGAAATCGAACATACTAGAATCGATTATTACAAGTATAGAAGAAGTAGAGAAGTATAGTGTTATTATAAATAAAGTAGGACATTGTCATACTTGTTACGGTATTAATATTGTCGTATGACAAAAGTTGATGTAATACTGTTTTTAACCTGTGGCCATAGTAAATCTTAGGGAATATCGATAAATCGTATCGCATTTGGCACCCCTATTTGAACGTCACTAAATGGTCACTTGTCAGTCACTCACCTGTGCTCTCACTCTGTCAATTAAAATGGCGGCACCATTCGTAATTATATCGGTGTGTTTTGAAGACTTTAACAGTACGTGTACATCAATACCGATTTTATCGGCCGATGGCGAACAGAACTACCCGGACGAGTAACTCGGACGTGTATGTGCTTACACTGCAACAGTGTACCACTTCTGCCGAGATTGGACGTTGCCGGTATTCTTTTCTATTTTTATATTTTCAATATCCATAGTCGTTTAGGTAGATAACAACACTTACAGAAACACTAGAATAAAGACAAAATGATTAAATTAAACTATAAATGAGTGTATTTATAGTTTAGAATTTGCACTGCGGACGTCGGCAGTCGCGCGAGAAATCCCAACAAGTTCGGATTCGACGGTTGATCGACCATTTTCGTGCGTTATCAGACGATGACGGTCGTGTATGTGTACGCGCTCTCTTTGTTTTACAAGTGTTTGATTCCATCGTCCGAGTTCGGCCGTTGTCGGCCGTGCAAACTTCGGCCGATGACGGATTTGGTGTATGCAAAGCGTAAGGACTATCTATTGAGCATTACGAATTGGCTATTTTAACGGACTCTGATTGCCTTCAAAAACGACTTACCTGGCTGTGATTTTTGGAACTGTGTACCGCTCAAACGATAACCTGCCACTTATAAACGGACTTACGCATATGCAATAGAAAGTGTATTTTGTGTTTGTTCTATGTTGGTAGAAGAAGGTACTAAAAATTGCTAAATGTTTGGTTTTTCAGTTTTTTTTTAAATCACTCGGAGCTATGAAAAACAATAATGTTAGTAGATCTATTAGGTATAACCTCAAAATCTGATATTTTTTTGAAATATATCTATTCTGCAGCTAGTCTGCTATACCAATAACACAATATAGGAAGTCAACAATGATCGACAATACAACACTGAATTTTCCGATGCTCTTGGTTCCAGGGCGAAGAACAACAAACAGAACAGTGTCCTTTATAACATTCTGAGAGTGAGTTTGAAAATGATTTACTCAGCCTGATAATCATATACGAATATATTCACGCCACAAAGATAGATTTTTCGAATAAAAATTTATTGACTTTCAAGGTGGTAAGTACATTAAACGCTAGATGGCATAAACACAAAAACAACGTAAATCTGTCGCTATATTACGAATGGAATGAACAAACATGACTACTTTGTTGAATATTATTATATATTTTATTTATTTAATAAATTTATTTTTGAATTTCACTCTTAACAATACACAATTTCATCTTACTGATTCATATAATTTTTTCTAGCATATATTGTGCGTACCTTGAGTCTCATCAATTTTCGTTCGACTGATAAAATGAGAACGAATATTTAACTATAGAACGAAATAGATGGCGCTATTTATTACAAAGCTAAGCAATTTTAGTGGAAAGAAAATGTTGTTTTGATTTAGAACACTAAAATTTAGGCTTTACACGTCTAAATTAAGGATTGTAACGTTTATTTGCTATAAAATTAAAATTTTATCTGTCCTTTGAACGCATATTTTCCAAAGCAGGGTAAACAATATGTAACAAACGCAGTAATTTCAAGTCCAATAAGGCAAAGCAATGCTTATTTTTAAATTAAAATCTGTAAATTTTTATTTTCCCCTAACTTGACAACACTTTTGAATACATGCACTGCATTGTGTACACCGCACTAAAAACAATTCATTCAGATCATTCGCGATTCGGTAGATATTCGACTCATTCACAATTCACACCAATCACGAGTTAAACAGGTTCCGTCAATTGGTTGTACCGGAACATTCATAAATAGATGAGTGAACCATCAATACTTTTAAGTGCACCAGCTCAAACGAACAAATCATTCATGATTGACACATATCTAGGCAGAACGAAAGTCTAGCAGCGACCGTTATTGTGCATAGTTGGCCGTATTGCGCATTATTGTGTATAATTGGCTGTGCGTATCGTTCGCACGCGCTGATTGGCTCTCCAGTCGCATTCCGTCCCCCTTACTGATACGACGAGACGATGTTGTTTTACCACTTACTTAAGACACCCATTCAAAAGACACATTTATATACCATTTAACTCCCTCTTTCATTTAAGAAATACACTGTACTCTTTCCCTCTATCCAAACTACTAAGTTATGGTATAGAACATATCTGAATAGTTGTGTAGAGCCCAGAACAAAAGTTCAGGCTTGGCTATCAATGGCCAAGAAAACTTTATAATTTCGTTCCATCCGTCCATCCCAAAGTGTAGCCATAATATATCATATCTAGAGGTTTTGGCAGAATTGGTATACTTTTTTTTATATTTAGTCTGTATCCACCTATGTGATTCGTGGTTGGACGAAAAGTGCCGCTTTTTCTTAACTTTTTTCTTAAGGTTTCATAAAGAATTTTAAGCAAGGAACCGTCTAAGTTGTAATAAGCAATGTTTCTTTTAGTGTATGATCTGAAAAATAGTTATTATTTAATACATTCCAAATAGTTTGTTTTCTTTTATAGTGCATGCAGCTACTCCTGTGCTATAAACAGCCGACGTCTATTTTAAGTAAGGAATAGTCTAAGTTTTAATAAGTAATGTTTCCCTTAGTGTATGAACCACAGAAATCTAAATAATAAGGCAATAGAAGTCGTAAAAGCGCGTGGCCTTGTCGCCGCACATGTGACTTGTAGACCACAAGTGCGCGAGGAGCGTTTGTTTCGGTCATCAGTGTTGTTTCGGACGCATAGAGTTAAAAATAGTGTTTTGCAGCATACCCAACTGTGGAAATTCCACAATTTGTAAATTTTCAAATAAAGGGATAGCATTTCATAAATAAGTATTTAGTGTTTTAAACAATGTTGTGTTTTAATGAAATATGAATAAAATTATTCACATCCGGTATTACGATTATCTCCAAAATTGTTACTGTTCTCACATTTCAATATACATTGATTCTTAAGATAGTTCATGTCTACGAGTACGACAGCTAAAAGCAGTGATTGATTTGTAGTATGGGCAATAAACAAAATTGTTGCGTACGTAAATTTCCTAGAACACGGCCGCAGGAGTACGTAACATTACTCTTTTGTATCGATAATTTATTATGTTTGGCTTACATAGGTTTTACCGAAACGGGAATGAAATTTGATTTTTCGTTAAATATTTATTTACACCATTCTACTTTTTTCTTTCTAAATATTTTATACCGCTAACCGTTTATCAGCGATTATATGTTTATTCGTACTTTTAAATTACTTGATAATTTTGTACTTGTTGTACTTGTCCTAACGATATATTGTTAGGACAAGTAATTACATGGTAAGAATAGTAGGCTAAATTCGATCTGTAAGAAGCCGGGTAACTGCAAATAACAAACAACAGAAAGTCAGTTACAGATATCTTTAAACTAATAAAATATGATAAATATGTCACCCACATATATATTTATTTGTTTGCTGTTTGTATAATGTTGTATTCATTTTATTTATACATATTTTTATTTTATATAATGCTATTATTCCAAGATTCCTAAAGATCCGGATATTTAAGATAAATGGATCACTTATCCTAAACGTTTTACGTTATTACGTTTATATCCCCTTTTCTCTAATTATAAAACGTCTAAAAGCTAAAGCTAAACCTAAAAGCGTCTATTAATGAGACACTTTCAGTTAGTTATCTCTTGGTGTGAGATTCCTGGACGATCAACGACGCTTAATAGAAAGTTATCGATACGTGCGTTGCGCTGCACTATGCCCAAGTGAGAGTGATCGCGCAATGTCATTCTCTGTCTATGTGTGATAGGTGCGAACCGGCGACACGTGTCCCGATATTAAAAGACAGTAGAAGGAATTTTTAGTGCCTTATTATATTATATATTTTAGATTTCTATGAAATCTGATAAATAGTTCTTAATACATTCTTAATGGTTTGCTTTCTTTTTTTTCATAGGATAGGGTAACAAACTAGCACACAGTCCACCTGATGGTAAGTGGTTGCTGCGGCCCATAGACATCTACATCTATCCTCGATTACAAATCAAAATGCAGATGCGTTGTCACCCGTGAGGACTAAGATGAAATGCCTCGTTTCCAGTAAAAAGGGTCTCCGGTTCTCTACACTCACCATACGAAACACAGCAGCATTATGCTACTTTACGCTGGTATTCTGTGAGAGCGTGGTCCTTCCCCGGTCACGCCGACCCATTCGTGCTATAACTATACCACTGTTACGAGCTTGAAGTTCGTGACAATAAAAACTGCCGATTGAATTACCCAAATTTACACTTTTATTACCGAACACCAATAAAAACCTAAAAAACACTAATAATTAATCACACTGATTCACTTTATTTCGCTCCGAAGCTTCGCTTCTCTCGCCAAATTCAGTACTGCTCCGACCGCGTCTTTCAACGCCTTTAAATACACATTTTTCACCGAAACGTATTCATATTCAAGTAAATACGCGCGCCAACCGACCAGGCGCAGAAAGTTCGAGTGTAGGGCTTCTAGAAAGCTAAGCTTCTTCAATTCGATACTAGATGGCGCTGTTGGTCGAAAGTCAAGATTGACATTTTCTAGGAAGCTCTCCTCGCTCTGTTACCCGACACTAGATGGCGCTAGTGCCAGACGTCAACTTAGGCGCGCAACACTACTTTCACAAGGCATACAACCACCCCCGTGCTATAATCAGACGACCTCTGTCTTTTCGTCCGATTACAATCTGGGCGTTTTTAAGGCAAGAACGACAGTACGACTTTATCGAGGGCTTTATCAATATATATGGGAGAGGCCCTCGACTTTTAATGGGCTATAATGAATGGAATAAATTACTATTTATTCACAGCATTCCACTCGCGAATCCAGTATTAAAACTAACCTTTTTAACAGGCGGTTCTTCCACGTCCGAGTCTTGTCCGGGTTTATATCCGTCAGCGAAACTCACGCGTTTGGATCCGCGTCCTGACTCGCCAGGAGCTCCTGACCTTTTGTGACATAATTAATGGAAAAGTCAGTACATTTGTACGAAACCGACATAATAATATTAAGAAATAAACTGAAAACCAATGCAACTGATAACGTTAATGGAAATTTAAAAAAAATACGTTGATTTTATTAATTTTTATAGTTTTCTATTTGTGTAAACAATTGTAGGAAGTCAAATTAGCTAACCTCAAAGGTGATAGTGCTTATCTGAAATCCTACATGGAATATAGAAGGTTTGTCTGGAACAGCGGGGGGCAAATCCAACTAATGGGCACAAGAATATTAAGAGAATAATGGAGTAGAAAATAGTGAGCCGATGTTCTTAGAAGTAGAGAATCATCATTATCATCACCAGCTAACAATAAAGAAACGCTCAGGTGGACTTGAAGGGAAAGTTGTTGTTGGAGTTGAAGTGTAGTGAAATTTCTTCGGCGTATGAAAACAAAATTTTATGAAATTCAAACCTACTACGATACTACTACTAGAACACTACTTAGTTATTTAGATTAGTTATGAAATGCCTATACAATGAAAAAAAAAAAAACTTTATCTAATCTATTTAATCAATCTATACTCACGTAATCAGGATGCCTTTTTCAGGGGCTTCCTTTTCAGCTTCCGCTTCTTCTGTTTCCTTCGCAACTTCGCCTAGAACTAAAGAAATATCTCAAAATCAATCAGTAGTTCAATCATCATCATTCATCAATCAATCATTCACCGCAATGTTCTAATTTGAAGGGTTAGGAGAGCCTCTTAACTGCCGTTGAATGAATAGGCAAATGAAAATCTTTGTACGTTTTTTTAATGCATAGTGCACACATGGAGGATTGTCAGATTTGGCACAGCTATATTTAATAGTTAGGAGAAGGAGTGCAGAAAGTTCAAATTTATATAAATATTAAATAAAACATACATTGTTTTAGTTCATATTGCAAATGTCTCATGACTAAGTGCAAGCATATGTATGTTACTACTCTAAAGCGAATGTCAAACACTTTAATAATCTGTTGCCAAACAGTCGCACAGAGCAGAAATTGAAGATTTTCCAAAGAATTTTAAAATGTTGCCAACAAATAATTACTGTTAGATTACTAACTTTTATTTAGACCACAGGATAGAGAATTTTGTATTAATTCTATAATGCCAAACTTCTTCATAGAAAAGTAGTCTCTAAATATAAGTTTTAATGGTTTAAAGTGCTGTGGGTGAGTGCGGTCGCATACGACCGCTCGGGATTTAACGGACGTATGCGACTGAATGGGAATTTTATGGGGATTAAAGTGTTAAATTTTTTTATGGATTACATGCAATCAAATTTAGACCCCTGGGCGACATCGTTGGATAAATAGTCTTACCACTTCGTAAAGGAAGTAATCCTAAAAGTAGAAAAGTAGTCCTTTATTATTATTATAACCGCCACGCTTAGCAGAGGCGCGCTGCCACTGCAACAGACGTCTCGACTCTTGTTCACTGTTCCCCATCACTGATGATGGAACTTAGTACGTATGATATTGTAATTTTTTAATAAATAATAATATGTTTATTCATACATTTATACAACAATGCTGAGACCTTCTAGTAGGTAAATAAGTACTTGTGGCAGAAGGCCTCGCTCTTCACAACAATTTCGTTTTACTAAATAAACATAAAAATTAAAAAAATGAAATAATAATTCTTAAGAAGAAAATAATTAACGGATTATACAATAACAACAAAAAAAATGAATTCGAAAGAATGAGACCAACCTGGCGTTTCATATACACGAAAATAAATAATGTAAGAAGCCTCATCCCTGATATTTTAGTACTCACCAGTAGTCTTGAGAGCATGATCTATCCTCGCATCCAATGTACTGGCACGTGCTTCCGACTTAGTTGTGTCTATGCTCTCAGTTGGGTTTACTGCGATGTTAACCACAACGTTCGCGGTTGTATTCTCGGCGAAACAGTCGCCATATTGCAGACGATCCGACGCGCCGTACATATCCAAATACGCTTCATCATATCTGTAAAGAATTTACTGTAATTTTTTACTATACTACTGAAATACAGACAAGTATGGGTTGACTTTCTTTATATACGTGTGAGAGTGTGTATGTACATTGAACTTTCATTAATGTATTGAAGAGGAGGAGGCCAAAGTAAAAATATTAATTTTCTTAAATTTTTGTCTGAGCGACTCTTTAGGTTTTAAATCATTTATTGCTCTTCTGTAAAACATTTAATTTTAGTGTCAGTCGCGTGACACCATAGCAAAATACCATAGACATTATGCTATAGAAATAGCTGAGGTAAAGTAGCAGCAGCAGCATATGCTGGAGAACTAAGTCTGCTTGCTAGTTTTGATATATGGGGACCCCATTGAAGCTTCGCGTCTAGTGTGATTCCAAGAAAAATGGTGGTATCGACAAGCCTCAACTGCTACTCATTTAAAAACTATTATTTAGATGTTTGACATTTGGAGTGACGAATTCATATATTTAGTACTAGTGCCATTTAAATACATTATAGATGTCTTTGAGCCACAGCATCCACTTACTGTCTGGTGGAGTGAGTGCTCCTTTGTCATCCTTACTCTATAAAAGCCCCAAGAACAGACTATAGCTAGTGAATATGTCCTATTTTATTCTCTTCCCAAATGAAACTTCCGACGTTCGGTATATGTCAACTGTATTGTGGCCGGAACAATCATATTTATCACATGTTCAGGCTTGAAAGGGAATATCGGATCAGAAAAATAATAAATATTTCGAGGACGTATATGTATAGTCATACGCATAAAACATAATCACAAACAGTCTAATGACTTCGCATAGTAAAATTCGGTTAATAATAATAATTATAATGATTACTTTATTTGCTCTCAGTTTAGTTTACACTGCCTTATAATAATACTATTGGAGGTATAAGCATTTTAATTAGTGAAAGCCTGGTGTTAGTACCAGGAAAGATCTGTATGAATAATCACCAGTCTCTCGTCCCTTAATGTAACATTTATCAACATACCTTCATCTTTAGTACACTTCGTGTGACAATATGATTTTGCTGTTTTTGTAATGAGAGAATGTGTAAGAGTGTGTGTGGGTGTAAGTGTGTGTATGTGTGTCTGTTAGTATAATATTTTAAATAATGGGAGTTATCAGGGATTCTGTTTCTGTGTAGTTTAAGTCCAAAAATCATTCAGTTATTTTTGTTTTTAAGGAATATTTATTCATAGAATATATTGGTATAGCCTTATTTCTCCTATTGTAAAGAAGACTAGAAAGATAACAAAAGATTCTACGAGAAAATTTGGATTGGACTTACGAGATTGGAGAAGACATGCTATTGTATGGTAGCGAAGAATGTTTTTTAGAACAGTTTGTAAAATGACCATTTGCCTAACAGTAAGTCCCTTGCAACGTTTGTATAGTTCTGCTGCGTTCTAATCCTATAAGTCGGGTTTTTCTGCATCACCCATGAAGTTATACCGTACAGCAAAATAGATTGTACAAAGGCAAAATAGACAGTTTTGATCGCTTTCGTATCCGAAGCATTTTTAAGGTTTTGAAATACATTAATCATAAATCAACTTTCCTAATCTAGATGTTAGCGTAGTTATATGTTTTTCAAAAGTTAATTTGTTATCTATTATAACACCAAAATATTTAACGTAGTCGGATTTCTCGATACTTAGGCTGATACTATGCATAATACAGTCTGAGGATGTCTGAGAATCAGTAAAATAACATAGAGGGCTACAAGCAAAACAGGAGTGCACCTTTAGGTGGAGGTACAGTGGTAGAGCCACGCGGCAGCTTTGCTGTTGCACGTATGGGCCGGCTCAAACCGGGGTGGTACCTCACAGAATACCGGCGTGAAGTGGAAGCTCTGCTTCCGCGTTTCGTCTGGTGAGTGCAGGTGGCCGGAGGCCCAAATCCCCCCCCCCCCATCAACATGGTAGCGGAATGAAATGATGATAGACTACCCCGGGAGGGTACCAGCACCCCTGGAGAATCCCTCGCTGAGCATCCACGACCATGTTTCTTCACTTCCGAGCGTGGGTGCTCAGGCTGCCCCGCGTATTCTGGGGGGGGGGGGGGGGGGGCAAAATTCCGCTCAAGACTACAACTGCTCGGGGCAAACGGAGCAACAAGACCAAGGCGACCTCTGCCACGCTGTCCGTGAATTTCTGCAATATCAGGGGACTTCACTCTAACCTAAACGCCGTCGACTATAGGTCCCATAGCGGTAATGCCGAAACAGACCGACTCTTCGATCACGTCCAAATGGCTACAGATTCGTTGCAACAGCAGATCCCCTCCGCAGAGATCGTGATCCTCGGCGACTTTAACGCCAATTACGCCGAATGGCTTGGTTCACGTTTAACCGATCATGCGGGGAGATCTGTTCATGTGTTTGCCTTGGCATATGGTCTGACACAACTGGTTACTTCGCTACGCGAATTCCAGATGTGGAGGATCATGCACCTTCCCTGTTGGACCTTCTGCTGACCTCTCACCCGGACGGATATCAGATTTCCGTCGACGCCCCTTTAGGCTCCTCGGACCATTGTCTTGTTCGGAGTGTGGTGCCACTCACGCTGAAATCGCAGTTGCATTCTGCAGGCTGCCGCCGTGTTTGGCACTATAGGTCAGCCGATTGGGATGGGATGCGGTCTTTCTTTGCATGAGTGTTCCCTTGGGGGCGGGTTTGCTTCTCGCCGGACGATCTCAACGTTATTGCGGATTCTGTCGCTGATGTGGTACTTCAGGGTATGGAACTTTCTATTCCTTCCTCTGTGGTGTCCCATTGGAGGCAAGTCTCAGCCATGGTTTGGTCGTTCCTGTAAAATAGCATCATGTTATAAGCAGGAGTGCTACCAAGCCTGGGCTGACACATCAGCGTCCCGGGATGTAAACACCAGCGCTCTAAAAAAGAAGTATAATTACGCCTCTAGGTCCTTCAAAAGAGTCATTGCCAAGGCAAAGTCAGAGCACATAGGCAGAATTGGCGAGAAACTAGTTCGCCTTCCTTCTGGAACCCGTGCATTCTGGTCTCTCGCCAAGGCTGTCCAGGGGAATTTCTGTCAGCCATCTCTTCCATCTCTGCACTGGGAGAACAACTCACTGGTCCATACCGCAAAGGAGAAAGCCGATCTTCTAGGCTCTTTCTTTGCGTCCAACTCGACTCTCGATGACGGGGGGAGTACGGCGCCGACCACCCCGCGGTGTGAGTGCTCCATGCCGGAAGTGCAGTTCACACAGCGCTCGGTTCGCAAAGCACTCCTCTCCCTGGACATCTACAAGTCGAGTGGGCCTTGACGGAATCCCCCAAATTGTGCTGAGGACGTGTGCTCCAGAATTGGCACCGGTTTTAACGCGTCTTTTCCGGTACTCCTACTCCCTAGGCGTCCCAAAATCGTGGAAGACGGCTTTCGTCCACCCGATCCCTAAAAAAAGGCGACCGCTCAGACCCGTCCAACTACCGGCCTATCGCCATCACCTCCTTGTTCTCCAAAACAATGGAGTCCATTGTAAACTGCCAGCTCATGAGGTACCTTGAGGATCACCAGCTCATTAGTGACCGCCAATACGGTTTTCGCCGTGGTCGGTCAGCTGGTGATCTTCTGGTCTACCTAACTCACAGATGGGCGGAGGCAGTAGAGTCCAGGGGGGAGGCATTGGCCGTTAGTTTGGACATTGCGAAGGTCTTCGATCGGGTTTGGCACAAAGCGCTTCTTTCGAAGCTCCCTTCCTATGGGCTTCCCGAGAAATTGTGCGATTGGATCACCAGCTTTCTTGCAGATCGGGGCATCAAGGTCGTTGTAGACGGTGCAAGCTCCGATTGCAAGCCTATTAATCTGGTGTTTCACAAGGCTGCGTGCTATCGCCAACGCTGTTTCTTCTGCATATCAATGATATGTTGCAAACCCATAACATTCATTGCTATGCAGATGACAGCACTGGTGATGCTCTTTACACCGGCCGAGCCAATATTTCTTGGGAAAACGTCTCCGAGTGCCGGGACAAACTTGTGTCTGAAGTCGAGTCTTTGCTGAACAGAGTCTCGGATTGGGGGCGACTAAATCTAGTCCAGTTTAACCCCCAGAAGACACGAGTTTGCACGTTAACCGCTAAAAAGAACCCCTTTGTTGTATCTCCTCAGTTTCAAGGCATTGCCCTTGTTGCCTCAGTGTATCGGAATCCTCGGCGTCACATACGATGACGTGCAGTTTCGTGGTCACTTGGAAGAGAAGGCCAAATTGGCCTGTAAAAAGCTTGGCGTGCTCAGCAGAGCGGGACAGTATTTCATGTCGGCACACCGCCTGCAACTTTACAAGGCGCAGGTTCGGCCGCACATGGAATACCGTTCCCATCTCTGGGCTGGGGCTCCCCAGTACCAGCTCCTTCCACTTGACAGCATCTAGCGCAGAGCGGCTCGAATCGTCGACGACCGAGTGCTTTCCGATCGGCTCGATTCACTGGCACTGCGAAGAGATGTTGCATCTCTTTGCATTTTCTTTCGCATATACCATGGAGAGTGCTCTGAGGAATTGTTCGGATTAATCCCAGCCGCCAAATTTCGTGAACTAACTACGCGGCTAACGTCCCGATACCATCCACACCATCTGGATGCTTGGCGGCCCACCACTGTACGTTTCAAGAGGAGTTTTCTTCCGCGTACAACCTCTCTGTGGAATAGTTTACCACCAGCGATTTTTCCGGACCGATACGACCTGGGGACCTTCAAGAAAAGAGCGTACTCCTTTCTAAAGGGCCGGCAACGCACCTGCAATTCCCCTGGTGTTGCGGTTGATCATGGGCGGCGGTAGTCACTTAACATCAGGTGAGCCGCATGCTCGTTTGCCCCCTCTTCTATAAAAAAAAGGTGATCCAGTGAAGGCTGATCTTGTGCTCCGATGGAAAAGGTTAAAAATTTGTATTTTCAATATTTAAAGTAAGTACGTTTTTGTTTAGCCAATTTATAACGATATATAATACTTTTTTAACATTACTAGATGTCT